CCAAAAAAAAAACAAAAAAAACACAAATTCAAAAAAAATCGAAAAAACTATATGTTATACATAAGAATAAACTAAACAACATTTGCCTCAATGTTACAAACAATTTTTTTACCAAATTTGAAATTAAAATCAAATACTAAAAATAAATAATAATAAAAAAATTAAAAAATATAAAACGATAATGAAATTATTGAGTGGGCGAACACGTTTTTGACACTACCATCTTTGGCGATTTTTCATTTTTTTTTTGTAGGTAATGCTATAAACATTTATATATGTGTACCTTGCATAATAGATAATCTACAAATAAAGATTGAAAAAATAATAAATTTTCTCATGCCCCGAAAAAAAAAAAATAAAAAAAATTAAAAAGATAAAAAATAAATTATTAAGTGGGCAAACATGTTTTGACACCACCATCTTTGAGGATTTTTCATTGTTTTTTGGCTGGACAGAATGACTTAAACATTAAGCGGAAGATACCTTATATCACAAAGAACTCACAAAAATATTTTCAGAAAAAAATAATAATATTTAAGTGTCAAAAAAAAAAATTTCGGGGTCCGAACCCCTTCAAGTTCGGGCCTTGTACGGGGACCCGAACGCTCGAACGTTCGGGGGTCAGCTTAGGGGTCTCCGTACGTTCAGCCTGACAACCCTGGTTACGGGTATATGAATGTGGGTTTGATAGATGAAGGAAGTGTTTTACCGTAATTTTGTTATTGTAGTGTTACACAAATTTACTTGATTAGTTATCACACTTGACAATATTCGACACCTTCCATATTTTCACTAAAATAATTTATGTTAGTTTATACTCTATTTAGTTTTACTTTATATCAAATTCGTTCATTGTTTATGCGATTTTGAATATATAATAAAATAATTTGGTTACTCAAGAAAATTATGTTTTTTATATCGGCAACCAGGGTCACCAGCCCGTACGTACGGAGGTCTCCGGGCTCACCTCCGTACGTACGGGCGTTCGGGGTCCCGTACGGGGTCCGAACCCGGCGGCGTTCGGCCCCCGCCAAAAATTATTTCGGGGCTTAAATATTTTGCTTTTTCTGAATTTTCTTTTGTGAGTTCTCTATGACGTGAGGTACCTGCCTATAACTTCTCGAGTCATTTGACTCAGCCAAATAGGAATTCAAAATCGCCAAAGACGGCGGTGTCAAAATGTGCTCGCCCATGTTGTTTTTCACTTTTTACTTTTTGTTTTCACTTTAGTTCGGGGTCTTAACAATTTTATTATTTTTTGAAACTTTTTAGTGGGTTTTGCAAGATGTGAAGTACACATCTGTAAATTTTCATGGCATTTAGCTATGTCAAAAAAAAATAAAAAATTGTCAAAGATGGCGGTGTCAAAAACGTGTTCGTGCACTCACTAAATTTAATTATTTTTTGTATTTTGTTATTTTTATTATTAGTATTTATTTTTCGTATTTTATTTTATTTCAAATTTGGTAAGGAATTTGGATATTATGCTCAGACAAATCTTGTTTAATTTATTTTTATCCATAACATATATTTTTTTCAGATTTTTTTATTTTTATTTATTTATTTTTTTTTTTTGATTCGCGTTCGGCCCGAACGACCAAACGCATCTCCAAGAGGTCCCATACGTTCGGGCGTTCGGGTTCAGGCGTTCGGGTTCGGGCGTTCGGCCCGTCCTGAACGCCGGTTACCCTGTCCGCAAATAAAAATAAAATAATGGTTATCCGTTACATGGTTGTTTTTTTTGTTTCGCTTAAAAGTGGGTAACACCCTATGGATGAACGTGAGTACAAGTAAGCACTTAAAAATCACTCATACTCGTGTATAAAAATAAAAAAATACATACATTATGCAACACAGTAATATAAATAATTTTTATCTTACGTTTTAATCAAAGTTAAGTTAAAAAAAAAAAAAAAAACTATAATACATATATATGTACTAAGCTACTAGAATGGTCTAGGACATCTTCTCCGGTCCGACAAAAAACAATATAAAAAATATAAAAACTACAAAGCTACAAAAGTGGTCCGTAGTGAAAATTAAATTTTGGTAACTCATACACTCTTAAAGTGATTGAAAAAATAAGGTCATCATGAAAACCTAAATGATTTTAAAGTTTTCGTAATGGTGAAAAAATCAACATAAGAGAAAACTTGAGTAATGTCTAATGTAATTTTGACACACATAAAAATTATCCAGTTCAAGTTCGATTATAATGTATAGTGAAAAACTCATATTGGAAACTAAGACTTTTAATCATCGTTAATTTCATACAACTCGGTCATTTGTTTGCAGTGACATTAAGGTAAGAAGTGAAAAACTCACTTAGTGGTGGAAATAACATTACGAGATGCAGTTGACTAAACATGATACATATTTGAGGCAATAAAAATGTCATCTAAAGTAAATGAGAATGTTGCAAATATACATAAAAGTAAATATTTGATCATTTATATTGCACAACATGTTTTAGGATGACTTTTGTTTGATAGAATTCAGTTGCACTTGATGTTTATTAAGTGAATAATATCATTGAGATTCTAACTTTGTTTATCAAGTGAAAAACTAACTTGGTGGTGGAACGAATATTACGAGGTGAAATCGACTAAACATGATGCATATTTGAGGTAATTAAGTGTCATATGATGCATATGAGAATGTTGTCAATACATATTCAAGTAAGTATGATACATACATGATCATCTATTTTGCACCGTAGGTTGTAAGATGACTTTTGTTTGATGAAAAAAAAAGTTGTGTTTTGATCTTAGGCTACCAAAATGACCTGGGTCCACTTGCCCGGTCGGATACTTTTTTTTAATTTGGTAAAGAATTTCGATGTGATACTGAGGCAAAAGTTGTTCAATTTATATTTTTTTATAACATAGTTTTTGTTTGGTTTTTTGCTTTGACCTTCTCTAGTCTTTGCACGACCGGGCCGTCCGAAAAAATAGGATAACCCGATCGGTCCGGC